TTTGTGTCATCACTTCTTGGCTTCAATTGTTGATCATCTGATGATCCCTTCAATCGGACATTAGTTCCAAACCTTATATCAATAATATCTGAAGAAATCTTTCGGTCATTCAATTGATCCAATGTTTGAGATAATGTCCGGAAGCGTTGATTGTCTTCTGAATCGATAAGTGTTTCATATTTTGAGTGAATTTTCATTAAATGTATTTTCATTTCATCCAAACATTGGATTTCATTTAAAAGTCTATTGTTTTCATTCAATAATTCATCCAAAATATCATTAATACTAATAATTAATGACTTTTTACTAATCATTGAATCCATAATTCAATTCAACAATTAATTCAATCCTAAAACCAAAGACACAAACAAATCAACAAAAAAGTCAATACAGTTGTAGTAAAGGGACTGTCAATGAATTACATACAAAAACTTTATTAAATTAATAATTGAATTACAATTAAATTACATAACAATCGATACAAACAAAATCGTAAACTTCATCATAACTTATGAACCAACTTCTTATGCTTCGCGAGATTACCGCTATTGGCGGCGCTGTACTGACATCCCGGCCAATGGCAGACATACGGGCGAACATTCGTATGGATATTCATGTGATTGCGAAGACAGGCGTTACTGCGGAACCGTTTGCCACAGTCTGGCCAATGACAGACGGCGGGCATCTCTCCCGTATGTATGCGCCGGTGTTCGTTGACGTGACCGCCCGTCCACTCACATCCCGGCCAATCGCACCCGTATTTGATGACCCGTTTGACAAACGGTCGCCGATTGTGGACCACTTCCTGATGCCGTCGACGCGCATGAGTGCCGAAAAACATTTCGCTACACTCGTCGACACCGCACCTATACGTGGGAACCGTTCGGTGTGTCCTCTGGTGTCCATTCAGACCCGATATTGTCTTATATGTCATCTGACAGCCAATGAAATCGCATCGAAACACTTCCCGGTCCGCCGAATGGGACAACAAGTGTTGCGTTAAGTACTTCTCGGCTGTGCATCGATAGTGGCAGCCATTGATGGGACACTCGACTCGTTTAATGTCTTCGTGATTGAGTGAGTGAACGTCCAGAGCGTCGCGCCGTCGGAAGCGTTTACCACATCCCGTGTGTTGACACACAAACCGCGGCGACGAGTGTTTGTACCGCAAGTGATACTGAAACCGATCGTCCGTTTCGTAACTCTTGTGGCACTTATTTATCGGACAAATGAATGCACTTTTGTTCAAATCATAGCATTTCTCTCTTTCTTCCCGTTTGTGTCGTAAGGATTCATAAAGTGATTGATTTGAATCCGTTTTGACCACCGATTCCTCTTCGACAGCCTCTGTGGTCATAATATTATCATTTGATTCATCGATTTCTTGGCCCAAGTTTTGGGCGGAACCGATGTCTGTGTGTGTATTGATATCATTGAAAGTTTGTATCACTTCTTGTTTTCGAGGTTTTCTTTTTCGCTTTAATTGTCGTTTCGATGGACTCTTAAATCGCGAATCAGATTCAGTGATAGCATTGGAATCGTTATCACGTGTGCTCTTCTGCTCATTCAATTGATCCAATCGTTGAGATAATGTCCGGAAGTGTTGATTGTCTTCTGAATCGATAAGTGTTTCATATTTTGAGTGAATTTTAAATAAATATATTTTCATTTCATTCAAACATTGGATTTCATGTAAAAGTCTATTGTTTTCAATCATTAATTCATCAAAAATATCGTTTATATAAATAATTGGATTCATAATTAAAATTATAAATAAAATTAAAACTAATTCACAATAAATTTGAATACAAATTAAGTCCAAAACTAAACAACAATTAAATGACAAAAATGTAAACAAAAATAGAAAACATGAGAATTGAAGGGATTTTCAATTCATTGCATAATATTTCCAAACTTTTCAAAAACTCAATTCATTATTAAATGTAAAAAATATTTCATTGAAAACACAATTTATTAATTTTTTAATGATTTTAAGTATTTTTTTAAATATACCATTGTACAATATTTGGCAAAATTTATATAATGCAAAGAATTTTAATACCAATTATTGTATATTAAAAATTAGTAAAAATAATTAGATTTCGTTCAATGGATTTATAAATGTATTCAAAATTATAATTAATTACATTTTGTGAACTTGTTTTGTATGCTTAACAAGATTACCACTATTAGTGGCCCCATATGTACATCCGGGCCAATGACACGCATAGGGCTTAACATTGTTGTGAATATTCATGTGATCTCTTAAATTGGGTTTCATTCGGAACCGTTTGCCACAGTCGGGCCATAAACACTGGAATGGCTTTTCGCCCGAATGTAACCGTTTATGTTCTTTGATATCTTTGCCGCTCCACTCACATCCCGGCCAATCGCACCGGTATTTGTATACGCGAGTAATAACTGGCGCCCGATTGTGGACATCGGTTTGATGTTTGCGTTTCTGGTGTTGAGTTGTGAACATATCATTGCATCCATTAATCCCACATTTCAGTGTCGGTCCGCTTTCATGTGTTCGCGAATGTACTAATAGACCAACAGTTGTCTTGTATGCCTTCCCGCAGTCAATGACATCACATCTAAACAATGGTCTGTCCGCTGAATGAATCCCCAAATGTCTGTTCAATAGGTAATTTATATGCGTTTCATAATTACAGCCATTATAATGACACTTAAATTGTTTGCCATTTAAATGAACGTCTGAATGGAGTTTAAAATGTTTCTTGTCTTTAAACACTTTATTGCAGTCCTTGTATTGGCACATAAATCGGTCACTCGAGTGGACACAATCCAAATGCATGTAAAAGCGTTTATTTGATGCAAAACT